GCCTTAGCCACTTGAGCCTATTTGTACACTTTTAATGTGCCTCTGGAAAATTCTGAATTACCTAAGGGTTTTGTATTTCCTTTTCTATAGACTACTAAGTCAGTCAGTCCCTCAAATGCAGCAAGGAAAACAGGATCCACCACTAACAAGCTCTACAACATCTCTGCACCCCAGTTTCTTCATCTATAAATCAGAGACACTAATTGTGATGAAGAGGATGCTAATGAGAACGATGAGAGGTAACTCCTTTAACCTTTGTGACAGCCCTACAAGGTGATCATTCCCATTTTACAAATAAGCAGAGAGACGCATGGAGAAATCAAGTGACCAGCAAAAGGCGATGTGTTTAATAAATGGTGGTGCCCACGCAGTCAGCTCCAGGATGCTTGCTTTTATCTCATTTGTTTATCTTTCATACCCACCTTGGAAATGTTACAAAAATACAATGAGTTAATTTAGGTAAAACCCTTCAGACAGTGCCTGACACACAGTCAACTCTCCGTCAGTGTTTATTATCACCTTTATCCCTGCCCCTAACCTATTTCCCAATTTCCCTGTAGGTAATAACCCTTCTCCCCACTTCCCAGGATCAAAGCTTCAGGATCATCTTCGAAGACTTCTCCCTTTTCCATTCCCTAAACCTAATCAGATCCTCTACTCTTTTCCGTGTTTCTAATCCAACTACTCCTCTCTTTCCACTGCCACCTTAGCCCAGCCCTTCATCCCCCTCACAATGGATGAATTAATAGCAAGAATATAAATAGTGCTCAAGTGCTAGGAAAGCTACTAATCTATCAATTCATTTAAACCTCACTATAACCCTGTCTGGTCTCCAGGACTTCTGCATCTAGGTTCTAACAGTGTCTGCATTTCTTCAGCAGACCAGTCTTCCTAGATTATCCTGCAATGGGACCTTGAAAGGAGTGTGGGTTCTTCACACTTGCATGTATCAGTTGATTTCAGCATGTGAGACGGAGAGATTGAGGAGGAGAAAAAAGACTTTCAAGGCTCAGAAAATTAAAAATTCTAGCCTCATCTAAAGTCTCCCACAAAATCAAGTCTTAACTCTGCTGCCAAACATTGGCAACAGCATAACCTAGACTCACCCTACCCATTCAATCTTATCTCCACTCCCCAGCAAAAATGCCTCAGAGCAGTCAAACAAGTCTTTTCACTTAAGTAAAAATAATAATTCTTATTTGCAGCACTTATTCACACAGTTCTGTTCTGCCTCAGAAATCTGAGATCCTGCATAAAACTTCCCCAAAACACCCACATCAAACTAATCCCTCTTCTAAATTGCAATAAAACTTTAGTCTTAGGCCACTCACTGTGGTCCCCAAAGACATGTTCATCACCTGGCAAGTGCCACTACAACCCCAGCACACAGCAGGAACAATCAGAAGGAAAACACACTAAGTCCCACATTTTTCATCTCTGTTCTAGCACAGGTAGAATACATACACATGGAGTATTTGGCAAACAGTATGTCAATGGACAAAATAACTGAAATTATCTGTAAATACGTTAATTTAGCCAATCACATTTAACTAACCTTAAGGTAGCAAGAGCAACATTAAGTATCAGTTTCAAGGCAGTGGTTTCATAGCACCTTCAAATAATCTTATTTTCTCATCAAAACAACCCTGTGAAATACACTATTATACCCTTAAGTCAGCTGTGGTTCAAATAAGTAAAGTGAAAAGATGACACAGCTAATAAAGGGCAAAGCTGAGAACACAGACTAGGCCAAGAGTCAGTTCTAGGCCATCTTTTATCTCCTTTCTCTCCTCACTTTCTATGGAGGAATCAAATGACTAAAAGGAGACAGGACTCAGTAGACATCCTTGATGATAGCAACAAGTCCAGTAAATTAATGACTTCAAAAGAACATCTGCCTGAAATAGCTTCTTTTCTTTTTTTTGACTCATCCAGGGCAAGTAACGATTTGGAAGAATGCATTTAAACCTCATGAGTCTACTGGACTGTGAAATAATAATTTCCATCTAAATATTTCCAGAGGTCCAAGTCCAAGTTGGACTTTTATAAAGTAAGAATAAGGCTGTTTCATATCACAGGATAATTAAGGCAGAAAGCAACCTTCTGTGGACACAGCACTTGACACAGTCAACGGGCAGTTGTTGCTAAACGTTATAAACCATTAGTCTTCCCACACCTTACTGTCACTAGGAATGGAATCTTTAAAATTCTTATTTGTGAAGACATTCCAATTTAACATAAAGACACAAAGAACCTCAGTTCAGAGCAGTCTCAACTCGTGAATGGCCACATTGTTGGGGACTCTGTCTTCACACTGAAACTCAGAAATGGAAAGACACGGAGATGGAACCAAACCTGGGCCAACCCCACTGGCAGAGCCAAGGAAAACCAGGAACGTGTCGACGCCTCTGCAGACCTTCAGGCCACTTCAGGGGATGCAGGCAGCTCCCCCGCCGCGGGCGCTGGTTTCTGCAGCCACCACCTCTCTTGGGAAGGATTTTCCTCTAGATTTGAACTGAGCCGAGACGCTAGGAAAGGGGCGTTCTTCCCGCGGACGGCGGGTTGGAATGCATGTAGCGCCCAGCCCCAGCCCCTCACCCTGCGCCACGCCACCCACGGCCCCAGCTGGAAGGCGCCGCGGCCCCGCAACCCACCTCCGCGATCCGGGAAGGATGCGAAGGAGGCAGGAGGGGGGGACAGCGGTTCCGCACCGAGCTGCAGCCGGAGGCTCCCACATCAGTCTCGGCTCCTCGCCCTCTCGCCCTGTGCCCCCACTCACCCAGTTCTGCGCGTTATTGCTCAGCTTCACTTTCTTGCACAGGCTCCCGGGTATCTCCATGGCCGCGGAACGCGCGGGTGCCGGGATTCTCGGCTGCGGGAAGGTAGCAGGAGACTGGAAGGCCGGCGGGGGCGGGGCGGCAAGGCGGAGCCTCTCGCCACGGGGCGGACGCGCGCTGCCGTGCACGCGCACGCGCTCGTGCTCGTGTCCCCCGAAATCAGTCCGGAACGGAGAATGCACGGAAGGGCGAAGCTGGGGGGAGAACGAGAGGCAGAAGCTGGGGGCGGAGCTTCAGCGCTGGCACTGACGCGAGCGCGCCCGATTCTCCGCCTCGATCCCGGGGAAGAGGAGGGGCCTGGGGAGCGGTCGCGGAGGCTCCCGGGCGTCCGTGGGCAGGTCCCCTGGAGCCGAGCAAGCGCAAAGGCTCGGAGGCTGTTTGCGGGCGGTCGCTGACGTGGGCTCCTGCGGCTTTGACTCTTCCTCCGCCAGCTTGGCCCCCGGCTTCCTGTCTGCTCTGTCTGTACCGGTATCGGCGGGCCAACATTTTTAAAATGTTTCCCATCCCACGTAAAGGAGCGAGTTGATTTACTGAACAGCTCCTACTACTCAACTTACAATTTTCAAAAAAGGCAATGCCTCATTTCTTGATAGCAATAATTTCTTAGCCGGGATTAGTGATAATGTGCAAGGTGCCTCCTTCCCGGCTTGTTGACCTCAGAAATGAGGAGATTTCTGTGCAGTACTTCTTAACCAACTAGGCCAAAGAAAAGGTGCTTCTGTATTACTAGCTACTCAGAAAATCCTTCGAGGATACAAAGTACATATTAAATATTTCATGAACTAATAAATAACAAGAATGCTGCTCATGTGCCAGTGATGTACACCGTTTGGTCCTGATAAGCATGTCTCTTTATCCATTTTTATGGTGCCTGCTATGACCATCAGCCTTAACATTCAGATGAGAGTGATTTGTGTTATGATGAAAGCTTTAAATACTACTTCTCAGGCTATCAGTACAAAACTAAGAAAGGTTAGAAAAACAGTGTTAGAAAATCAGACTACATTAGACTACTTACTACTAAAACATAGCCAAGAGTGTCAAGATCGCAAAGATATGTGTAGTTTTAATTTATCAGATAATTAATTCAAAAAATACAAACTGTTAATAGTACAATCCAAGACATCCTTCTCAAAGAGAAAGATTCTTTGACATGGAACTACGAAAAATGGTGGTCCTGAACACCTGACATTAACTGACTACACAGGACAGTAGTTGAGGGTGGGGCTCCTATTAGGCCTTCTTAAAGTGCTGCTATGCACAAAGCCTGCCAGCTTTCCTGTCCTTCTGTTTCTTATATTAAATTCCAAATACGAGACTTTATAATCCCAAAATTAATACTTTAAATCATAGCCATTATTTCCATGTTAAAAAAAAAAAAAAACCCTGGGGATCCAGGTTTTTTATTATCCTAACTAACCATTACATACATGGGCACTGTTGGACAGACCCTGGAGGGAGGATGAGCCTCTGTGGTGCCACCTGGAGCTGTTCATTCACATACAAGGCCTTCTGTTACAGGTAAAGTTAAGAGAACGGACTGCTCCAAGGACCATAGTGCCTAGGTACCTCCCAGGACGATGAGAGTGGGGAGGCTGGGGACAGGGCCTTGTGGCAGCAACTCACAAACCACCTATGTTCTGGAAAGATCACAGGGTGTTCTGCCAAGACTTAGATCAGCTGCAGGGCACCCAGCCTACCCAGCCTATGTGGCCTCTCTGGAGCAACAACAGCCCTGCTCCTCCGATCAGGCTCCAACACTGATATCTGAGGCCTCTTCCTCCTCCACCCCAGTTCCAGACCTGGAGTCCTAACTAAACATAAATTTAGTGTAGAGTAAGAATACTTTGAAGAGATAACCATTTCAAAATAAGGGGATATTATATAATCCCCCCCTTGTAACCAATGAGGAGAAATCTGTTTAATGTATACTATGATGATTAATAACATTGCTGATACTTGCTTTTCTTATACAGAAAAGCTCTTTAGGGAGATATCCTAGCTGCTCTCCGAAATTATTGGCTTTCCTATAAATAAAAGTGAAATTGTTGATCTCTCATCCACTTCTCCATTGATTGGCTTGGGTGACAGATGAACTCGTTGGCCTGACAACCATAGTGAATGGAAATAACTTGCTAGATTTTTAGGTGTTCTACTAATTATGTGACCTAGATAAACAACATAACTTCTATGGACCTCTGAGTTCTCATTTACAAGATAAGAGGGCAAAAATGGATAAATGTATCTTATTTTTTCTTTCTTTCCTTTTTTTTTTTTTTTTTGAGACAGAGCCTCAAGCTATCCCCCTGGATAGAGTGCCATGGCATCACAGCTCACAGCAACCTCCAACTCCTGGGCTCAAGCGAGTCTCCTGCCTCAGCCTCCCAAGTAGCTGGCACCACAGGCGCCCAGCTGTTTTTTGGTTGCAGCCATCATTGTTGTTTTGGGAGGGCCCAGGCTAGATTCGAACCCACCACCTTAGGTGTATGTGGCTGGTGCCTTAGACACTTGAGCCACAGGCACCAAGCCAAGGATAAATGTATCTTAAGGGATTTTTCCTGCTTTAAAATTATTCTAGGTTCTTAATTTAGGTGTCATTAACATCTAAAAATAGCAATTTAATAAAAACCATAAATTGTCTTTGCACACCTTACTATATGTAAAACATTGTGTTAATAATTTCCACATGTTAAAGTACCTGAGTAGTAATTAATGGGATGCAGCATATATTCTTTCCCCCAATTCTTTTAGCCTTACTATTATGGGATTCGCTGATACTATGTTAAGGGTCTTATCAGATCTTTTGTCCATCTTTTAATTCAGTTTGTTCTCTTATTACTGAGTTTTACATGTTATCTAGTCCATCTCTGGCATTTTATTTTTTATATCTGGAAGTTCAACTTGGGATTTTTTAATGTATCTTCCACGCTTCTATGTAACATGATCAATCTTTCCCTATTGTTTTGAACTAAGGCAATATAACTGTGTTAATGTCCTTTTCTATCAATCACAGGTTGCAGCTCTTTGTATTGACGTATTCTCCTGTGGGTCATATCTTCCTCCTTTTTCCCTCTTCTTTTTCCTTATTAAACACTATGAATTATACCTTGTTGGATGCTGCATATTTTTGTCTTCCTATAAGTAAAGTATTATTGAGCTTTGTTCTGGGTCACAGTTACAGTACTTGGTAACAGTTTCATCCATTCAAGCCTGGCTGTTAGCATCAATTGATAGTACCAGAGTAGCTTTTTTTTTTTTT